ACCAGGACTCCTCAAATGGAAGCTTCCTCCCCCAGTACAGGGATAGTTTGGATGCTGGGCCTCTCCCCCAAATGACAAAGAACCATTACACCCACTTACCCACACCCATACCCCATTACACCCACACCTGCTTAGCCCCAGTGACCAAGAATCACTTCAAATTCTGGCACTCACACTTCTTTGTAAGGCCCGTGGGGAGCCCCTGGTCTGGCCCCGTGCTCCTCTCTCCTACTCATTTCCCCTGATGGTCCCTTGCCCGCTGAGGAAAGTCTTGCTCACGGTTCTGCAATAGTACAGCTCCTCGATCCCTCGCCTGCAGTTCCAAAATCCACAAAGCTCTGCCCACTGCAAGGTTTTTCGTTAAGTTTGCAGGATCCGCCCCTCCAGCCAAGAACCCACTATGTTGAGCAGAGCTGGGCTCATTGACTTGTTGGCACGCAGTGGTGTGGTAGGGACCCCCACTCTCAATAGTATGACACCCAGTGCTGGCCGGGTAAGATGGACAGCAGTTAATTAGTCACATGGACTCACGGCTTGGGGGGAAGGAGGACACTGCTCACCACGTGGGGCCACTCGGGGTTGTAGTCAGCAACAGAGTGAACCAGCAAAAGCTGTGGGCTGCCCTTTATAATAATGGGATGGGGTGCCTCCTGGTTCGTCCAGGAGGATGCGATTGGCTTGCAAGCTGGCAGGAAAACCGAAGCCCTCCCAAACTGAGGACGGGGTGGAGTGTGGCTGGTCTGGCTGGCAGACGAACTGGCTGGGTGGGGAGCTTTTTCCAACAATGGTGGCAGCCATGGGGGGGAACGGGAGGGGTCACATCTGACGAGTACAGGGGACTCAGGAGCCCCCGGAGGCTCAAAGATGTCAGGGCGGCACTTGAATTGAGGAACCCACAGGCATGTTGGGGGGGTTAAGTTAGAAGGGCTTACAGAATTGGGGTCCATGTTAGGTAATGGGGGAGTGTTTTGGATTGGCGTGGTTGGGAAGCAGAGGTAATTCTGTGATCAGGTCTCTCAAGCAGTCTTATCTAGAAGGCAAGAGGAATGAAGGAGTGCTAATCCTCCACGGGTCAAGAAGCCAAGGTCACTCATATTAGCCAGGATGGGGGGCTGTCTGGTCATGTTTGTTGGTCTGGACAATGTTCTTGTTTTTATTTGAGTTCAGACATGATTGCAGCTGGTCTTGTTTTGTGTTGGCCCATCATGGGGGCAGAGCCGCCCCGTCGGGGCCTGGCGTTCCGTGAGGTTGTTGGTGTCCACGGGAGCATACCAAGGCCCTCCCAGCAGCCTCAGGGTCCATAGCTCCAGGCCAGTTCCCCATTCAGGGGCTCCTTTTCTCTCCCTCCACACCCCGGGTAGCCAGAGGCATCCATAGTCGGTCCTCAGAAGCTTGGTCTCCAGGATCCAGAGCTTTGCCGTGGCCAACTGTTGCTGGTCAGGAGCTGGTTCAGAGAACGTCACTGCAGCTGGGCTCGGGTTACACCCTCCCTCCCGCCGTCCTGCAGAGTGAGTTGGTCCGGCCTCTCACCGGTCACCCGACCGTTGCTGCACTGAAGATGCACAGAATGCATCAGCCACCTGCCACATTATCAGAAACAAACCTGGCTCCTGGCTCTGGTACCAGATCCTGAAGACTGCGGCCTCGATTGCCAAATCCAGGCTATGAAAACCTGCCCCAGAGTCCAGCTGGCTTTCCTTAGAAAGCCAGGTGGCTTTTCCTTTTTAAAGCCTAGTCACAAACTGTTCTACTTGACCCATCGCATTTACGTAGCATTTACATAGGTGCAGCAAGAATGTTTGTCTGAGCATCAGCTCCCCCTGGGTTGACAACAAGAAATTCAGGGCTTCGGGCGCCTGGGTGGCTCAGTTGGTTAAGTGACTGCCTTCAGCTCAGGTCATGATCCTGGAGTCCCAGGATCGTGTCCCACATCGGGCTCCCTGCTCGGCAGGGAGTCTTCTTCCTCCTCTGACCCTCTTCCCTCTCGTGCTATCTCTCATTCTCTCTCTCTCAAATAAATAAAATCTTTAAAAAAAAAGAAAAGAAATTCAGGGCTTCATGATCCACTCATGAAGGTACATTCCACCTGGTTCACTGGGATGGCAGCGAATGTGTTGTTTATGACATCTGCTAGGGTCAGAGACAAGTTTGGGATGGGAAAGGTCATCCGTCCAAGTTACCCCTGCGTGGGTACCACAGCTGGTGGAGAGAGAGAGTGGCCGTCCCTCTGGATGCTGCCCTGGGTAGCCTGCTCGCATCTTTTCCAAGGTTTCTGGGTGTTCTTTTCAGGGAAACGTGACTCACTGGAAGGGTGGTCATTTTAAACATCTGAAAATCTCAAACAACCATCCTGAATGCCCAGGACAAATGAGTGTGTGACAGGGGGCTATAAGCCTGATGTCTGATAGCTACCTAGCAAGGAGAATCCAATATCCACCACAGCTGTAATGACAAAGACGGGCAATCACAAGTGTTGATGACGATGGAGAGAAGTCGGAACCCCCACAGCTGGGGGGTGGGAAGATAAAATACTGTAGCTGCTGTGGAACAGTCTGGCAGTTCCTCAAAGTGTTAACACAGACTCACCGTCTGACCCAGCAGTTCGGCCCCCAGCCATCAACACCAAGTAACTGAAGACTTGTACACTACCATTCGTAGCAGCATTATCCACAATAGTGAAGAGGTAGAATTGGCCCAAATATCCATCCGAGGATGGACAGATTAAAAACTGGTCCATCCATATGGTGGAATATGATTCAACTGTAAAAAGGAATGACACCTGCTACAATGTACTACAAAGTATTGACACCTGCCACAATGTGGATGAACCTTGAAACCATGATGCTCGGGTGGGTGAAAGAGAAAGAAACCAGTTACAAAAGGCCACACATGATATGATTTCATTTATACAAAATGTCCAGAATAGACAAATCTGCAGACAGAATGTAGGTTAATGAATGCCAGGCACTGGAGGGTGGGGAAACGGGGAGCGCGTGCTAATGGGTACAGTGTTTCTGGTTAGGGTGGTGGGCTGACTTTGATTGCAGTGAGGGTTGCACAACTCTGTGACATACTACAAGTTACTGGATTGTATACTTTAAATGGGTGGATTGTATGGTATGGGAATTATATCTCAATAAAGCTGTTACCAAAAACAACAACAAAAAAAGGAGTATCCAAGTGGGACCCAGACTGAATGGGGGAGGAGTGGGTCTTTGTGTGTTTTCTTGTTGTTGTTGTTGTCATTTTATTTATTATTATTATTGCCTCTTGAGGTGGGCAAATTCCTTTAATGTAATTAAGCAATTCTTTCAAAGCAGGCTGGTGTGTCTGGAGATTAGTGGCCACGGTAGCGTGGAGAGTCTGACATGAGTGCCCACTGTTCCTGAAAAACTAGCTTTTGTGGATAGACTAGTAATGGCCTCAGCAGAAACATTTGCTCATGTGAGGTCAAGAACATGGAATTAGGGGCGCCTGGGTGGCTCAACTGTTGGGCGTCTGCCTTCAGCTCGGGTCATGATCCCAGGGTCCTGGGATCGAGCCCCGCATCGGGCTCCCTGCTCAGCAGGAAGCCTGCTTCTCCCTCTCCCACTCCCCCTGCTTGTGTTCCCTCTCTCACTGTGTCTCTCTCTGTCAAGTAAATAAATAAAGTCTTAAAAAAAAAAAAAGAACATGTAATTAGCAAACAACATCCCTGAAAATACACTTCTATTGAATTCATAACGAGCCTCCTGGGCTCTTTCTCCAATGGCCACGATCACTGGCAGGAGTGGGATATCAGGTCAGTTCTGGGGGAAAGGAATTATTTTGAGTCATAGTGGCCTGGTCCTTCACATGTATTATTTCTATGTACACACACACACACGCACACACGCACACACACATTGCCCCTCCCGGCGGCAACCTCACATGGAAGGTTTTATTTCCAATTTAGCAGGCAGGGAAGCTGAGACTCAGAGAGGTTTAGTCATTTGCACAAGGTCACATAGCTGTTGATAAAGAGTCACGCACCCATTTCCATAAACCCAGAGTGGACAGGTGCTCCACTTTCTATGGGGAAGCTGGGGGAGATTGCCCCTTAGCCAACGACACCCCCGAGCAGGACTCCTGCCATGCGCTATATATAAGCAGTGTGTATCATGCCCAGAACGGTGGGGTGGGCCAGGAGTCGGGGCTCCAGGGGTTAAGCCAAGGACCTTCCCTGTAGACTTCTGTCGGAGACCAGGAGGAGCAGGCTGCCATTTTCTTGTCCAAGAATTGACACAAGCAGGGCCTGACCACATAGGGCCCCATGCGGTTTCCAGGTCCTGTGGCAGCTGGCTCACAGATATGTCCTCGGGGCACTGAGGTGTTAGCGAGCCCTGGCTCTAGGGGGAAGCAGAGCAGGGTTTGGCACGGGCGTCCTCATTGGTGCCCCTGGGTGGGCAGGGCCACGCGGGGTTCAGACCTGTGGGAAGCCAGCTGCCTCTTACCCTTTTTTACCACCAGCCCCACCCCCTCCAGAAACCCTAACACCTGCAGGGCATTTGAAGCATGAAGCTGGTCTCTTTTCTCTACATCCTCTTTTCTCAAAACCCAGGCTTTCCTAACTCTAAGAACTCTCTCCTGTCCTGATTCTAGAGGCTTCCAAGAAGCGAGCTGCTTCCCCATCACCTTCTCTGCATGCTTCTTGGAAGGGGTCATCGGTCTTCCATAACTGAAGGGCTTGAACTGAAAGGCTGACCGTCCATCTGTTCAAACACCCAGCACCTTCTAATTGAGCACCCGCCCTGCCCCACTCTGGGCTCTCGGAATCACGCCCACTCGCCCACGTTCTCTGGTGTCCTAGCAACCAGAAGCTCTCATCTGAACTCCCGCCCGGACAGAGGCCATTTTCTCCCATGACCTGCTGCTTCCCTGGACCTCTGAGGACCTGTCCACACAGCTTGTGGGTTCCCTGAAAGCCACCACTTGTCCCCGAGGACGCCCAGAAGCCCAGCCACGCCGAGCCTACTTGCAGGATGAGCTTCTCACTCACATTCTCCGAGCTGGTCAACATCGCCATCCCGCAGTGCGGGGTGGTGAACTTCAAGGCCCTGCACCTCCTGCTTCAGGGCATCCTGGAGCACATCCACATGGCTGAGCTCAAGAAGGTCCTCTCAGGAGACGAGGACTTTCTCCAGACCTCACCAGTTGTGTTCATGCCCCGGGAAGCAGATGCCCAGCCCGTCCTCAGCCCCATGAAGAGGCTCAGCAATGTCTTTGACCACGTGGTGAGCCGCATCGACAAGATGGAGAGCCAGATGGCCATGCTGCAGGACCTACCCTCCACTTCCCAGCTGCTGGAGGGCAGCCAGGGCAGGGGCCAGCCTGCCCAGGACCTGTGGCACCTAATAAAGCTTCGGAAGATGGTGGAGGGCAACGAAGAAGCCACGGCAAAGGTAAACCACCTGGCCTCCCAAAGCTTCCGGCCCTCCTTGTTCTCCTCCCAGGCATTTTACCCCCTGTTCCCTTATGCCCCTTGTGATGGGCTCTCCCCAAACACAGGGGCAGGAATGGGGCTTTGGAGTAAGGCAGAGCCAAAGCTCCAATCTTGTATCCTTTGTCAAGTGTTGAGGAAAGAAGCCAGACACAAAAGGCCACATATGGTATGATTCCATTTGTATGAAACAGGCAAATCCATAAAGACAGAAAGCAGACTGGTGGTTGCCAGGGGCTGGGGGAAGAGGAGGGGCGTAGGGAAGGATAGCCTCCCAAAAGGAGGTCTCCTTTTGCAGTGATGAAAAGGTTTGGAAACACAGACCAAAGTCCGCCGTTCCCTGGTTCCCTCATCTCCTCACTGTCCCCTTCACCCTCGAGGCTCTGTTTGGGTCCCTCCCGAGAGAAACCGCTAGAAGGAGCGTTCACCATGGTCCAGGTGAGCCAGAGGCTTATGTCTGTTAGCTCCTTTGATCTTCATAGCACCTCTGTGAGACAGGTGTGATTACGATCCCCAGTTTACAGGTGAGGAATTGAAGCACTGAGAGGTTACCCCACTCAGGGTCACACAGTGTCAGAAAATGGGGAACTGGTGCAAACCTGGGCCAAGAGTCAGTGAAAGGCATAGGAATGTAGAGTGCTGAGCGTGCTGTCACTTACCCACTGGAATGGTCGGGCGATGATCATGGTTTCCCCCTCCCAGGATTGCCTAGAGATTAATACTAAACAAGATAATGCGTGGAAAGTGCTCAGCACAGAGCTCCAGGTATCCTGGGCATCCAGTCAGTGGCCACTGTTAGTATTATCCAGAGGCTTGAACTGAGCAGGGAAACTGGGATAACTGGGACCTCAGCAAAGTCAGGCACCGGGGAGCCCTGAGGGACAGGGAGAGGGTGCGGTCTGGCCAAGGTGGGCTGAGAGGCGAGGCAACACGGACCAACGTTAAATCAGGTGGTCAGTGAAGAAGCCAGACACACAGGACCACATACCGCATGCTTCTGTTTCTATGAAACATTGGGAACAGGCAAATCAGTAGCGAAAGGAAGTAGATTGGCGTTTGCCAGGGGCTAGGAGGTGGGGGCAGTGGGAGTGACTGCTGATGGGTGCGGGGTTTCTCTTCGGAGTGTTGAAAATGTTCGGAAACTAGATGGTGGCAGTTGCCAACCTTGTGAATGTACCGACTGCCACTGAATTCTTCGTGTTACCACCCACACAGCAGAGATTGGCAGAATGGATTAAAAGAAAAAAAGGCATGATCTCACTATACCCTCGATAAGAGACACATTCTAGATTCAAAGACCAATCGGTTGAAAGTAAAAGGATAGAAAAAAAGATATACCATGCACGCCGCAATCAGCAGAGAGCTAGAGTGGCCACGCGGCTCATATCACACAAGACAGACTTGAAGACAGGAATTGTTGCTAGAGACAAAGAAGGCTGCATGGGTGGTCCAGTTCAGGTTACGGAGGCCTTGGAGGCTAGAAACGTGGACACAGTGTCCGAGCAGCCTCCGCCCCCCCCCGCCCGCCCCTGCCTCCCTTGATGGGTGGAGGCTTCTGGAATGCACAGTACACAGAGTGACCCAGCCGGCTCCTGAAGGAGGCCGGCAGACAGGCTCGGACATCGGTGTGCAGCCCTCAGAGGACTGTTTGCACACTTAGGATTAGAGAACGTGCCCCCCGCCCCACCAACTGCAGGCCTGGCTGATGTTGCAGGGAGTTACCACAATGACCGCCTCCCAGCCCCTCCTCTTCGAGTGGGTTGCCATGGTAGCTGGCTCTGGAATGGTGCAAGCTGCTTAGCTAAGTGTCTGCACCAACCAGCCGGTCAGGCTGGCAGACCAAATGTCATGTCGATGTCCAGGTCACCTCACCTGCCGCTGACCGCCCCCCTTCCTCTGGGGCTGGCTGGGTTAGTCTCCTCCGCCGTCCTTTACAAACACCTGTCAAGGTGTGAGGGCCCAAAGTGGGGAAAGACTAGACTGCCAGCCCTAGCACCCACCCCAGACGGGGTGAATGGTGCCCAGAAAACGAGGGCCGACAACAAGGGGGCTCTTGAAAGGTTTGCGGGGCTCCACAGGCATGGTTAGCACACCGCCAGATCTGGGGCTCGGGCACTGCCACAAGTCCTTACTAGACGCTGAGATTGCAGCGTCCCTCGCCCTCACCGATAATTCTCTGTGGTGACGACTGTGTTGTGCCCTGGGGGATGTTGAGCAGCATCCCTGGCCTCCACCGTTCAGGTGCCAGAGCGACCCCTAGTGGTGACAACCAAAACTGTCTGCAGACTTAGCCAAATGGCTTGTTGGGGGCCAACTCGCCCCTATTGAGAACTCCTGAGCAAGGAAAACTGGGCTCCCCTTGCTCGCAGTATGTACTTGTCCCCAAAGATCCCTTGGGAGGCTCCGACCCAGGGCTTTCCGAGCCTGCTGAAGCACCAGCCCCACCTGCGGAGCTCTCCCAGAATTGCAGGCTCGCAGGCCCTGCCCAGAACCAGTTTGATTGATTGATTTTATTTATTTGAGAGAGAGCAAGTGAAAGAGCATAAGCAGGGGAAGTGGCAGAGGGAGAGGGAGAAGTAGGCTCCCCGCTGAGCAGGGAGACCAAGGAGGGGCTCAATCCCAGGACTCTGAGATCATGAACTGGGCCCAAGTCAGACACTTAACCAACTGAGCCACCCAGTGCCCCCGCTCCTGACAAAATTAACAACTCCCAAATAGCCATCCAATAGATTGTGTTGAACTTCCCCCAATTTTTTCTAAAATAAGGATGCTATTTTTTTACAGCTTTGTTGAAATATATTCATACATATATTTGTGTGTATACCAGAATATTCATCCATTTAAAGGGTATGGTTCAGGGATGCCTGGCTGACTCAGTCTGTAGAGCGGGCGACTCTTGATCTCAGGGTCATGCCCCACGTTGGGCATGGAGCCTATTTAAAAAAATTTAAAAAGTATACAGTTCAGGGATTTTAGTATATTCACAGAGTTCTGCAACTATTAAAATCAATTTTAGGACATTTTCAACAGCCTCCCAAAAAACCCTTAACCATCAGCTATCATTCTTCTTCCTGCTCCTCCTTGAGCCCCACTTTTGCACTTACCATGATGTCTTCAAGGTTTATCCATGCTGTCCCATGTATCAGTACTTGACTCTTACCATTGCCAAATGCTATTCCACGGAATGGATAGACTACTTTCGTTTATCAGTTGGTGAACATTTGGCTGTTTCCGCCTGTATGCTGTTAGGAGTCGTGGCCCCTATGAACAGTGGGGTACACATTTTCCTGTGGACGTATGTTTTCATTTCTCTTGGGCATATACCTCATGGTGGAATTGCTAGATCACACGATCACTCTGTGTTTCAGGTTTGAGGACCTGCCAGGCTGTTTCCCAAAGTAGCTGCACCATTTTGCATTCCCACCAGCGGTGGGTGAGGGGTCCAATTTCTCTACCTCCTCACCAGTGCTTCTTAGTTTCTACCTCTTTGATTCTAGCCACCCTCGTGGGTATGAAGTGTACCTTATTGTGGTTTTGATTTGCATTTCCCTGGTGATTAATTGTGTTGAGCATCTTTTCGTGTGCCTACCAGCCATTTGTGTCTTTTCTTTGGAGAAATATCTGTTCAGATTATTTTCCTAGTTGTAATTGGGTTGTCATTCTATTGTTGAGTTGTAAGAGTTCTTTATATATGGGCGCCTGGGTAGCTTAGTCGGTTGAATGGCTGGCTCTTGGTTTTGGCTCAGGTCATGATCTCAGGGTCCTGGGATTGAGTCCCGAGTGGGGCTCCATGCTCAGCGGGGAGTCTGCTTGAGGATTCTCTCTCTCCCTCTGCCCTCCCCCTGCTCAAACACGCACGTGCGCACACTTTATCTTTCTCTAAAATAAATAAATCTTTAAAAAAGTTATTTATATATTCTGGATATATGATGCCATGTGTGTGATTTGTAAATTTTTTTAAGATTTTATTTATTTGTCAGAGAGGGAGAGAGAGAAAGAGAGAGCACAGCAGTAAGAGTGGCAGGCAGAGGGAGAAGCGGGCTCCTGTTGAGCAAGGAACCCGATACGGGACTCAATTCCAGGACTCTGGGATCATGAACTGAGCTGAAGGCAGATGCTTAACTGACTGAGCCACCCAGGCGTCCCTTGTAAATGTTTTCTATCATTCTGAATTGTCTTTTCACTTTATTGACGGTGCCCTTTGACATGCAAAGTTTTAAATTTTGCTGAAGTACAGCGTATGCCTCTCTTTATTTTGTCACCTTTTTTGGTGTGGTGTCGCTTATGCTTTTGGTGGCATATCTAAGAAACCACTGCCTGACCAAGGTCACAACGATTTACTCCTACGTTTTCTTCTACAACACAGGAGTAAATGGTTTATGGTTTATCTCTTACATCTAGGTCTAGGAGCCATTTTCACTTAGCTTTTGTATATGGTGTGAGGTAGGAGTCCAGCTTCATTCATGTGGATTTCCAGCTGTTCAGTACCATTTGTTGAAGACAACTCTTTCCCTATTGATTTGTTTTGGCCCTCTTACTGAAAACCAACTGACTGTAGACATGAGTGTTTCTTTCTGGACTCCCAATTCCCTTCCATTGATCTATGTATTTTTCCTTATGGCAGTACCACACTGTCTCAATTACCCTAGCTTTGCAGAAAGTTTTGAAATCAGGAAGTGTGAGTCTTCCAGCTTTGTTCTTCTTTTTCGAGATTGTTTGGCTATTCTGAGTCCCTTGCATTAACCTATGGATTTTAGGATCAAGCTGTCAATTTCTATGAAAAAGAGCACACTGGCATCTTCATAGGGATTAAGCTTAATCCGTAGATCAATTTGGAAAATCAGTCTTCCAACCCAAGAAATACATAGCACAGGGTGCTATTGATTGATTGGTTGATTTATCAATCAGCTTTATTGGGATATAGTTCACATACCATACAATTCACCCATTGAAGGAGTGGACAACTCAGTGTTTCTAATCTATTCACAGAATTGTACAACCATCACCACAGTCAATTTTAGAATATTTTCACCACCCCCAAAAGGAACCCCATATGCTTTATCACCACTCTATTTCCTCAGTCCCCGCTCCAACTCACCCCCAGCCCTAAGCAACTACTAACCCGCTTTCTGTCTCTATGGATTTGTTTATTCTAGATGCTTCATATAAATGAAGTCCTGCCATATGCTGTCTTTTGTGTTTGGATTAATTTTTTTGAGAGAGCTCGCTCGAGCATGAGCAGGATGGGGGAGGGCAGAAGGAGAAGGAGAGGGAGAAGCAGACTCCCAGCTGAACAGGGAGGCCGACGCTAGGCTCCATCCTAGGACCCCAGGATCATGACCTGAGCCGAAGGCAGACGCTCAACTGACTGAGCCACCCGGGCGTCCCTGTTTGGATTATTTTACTTAGCATCATATTTCCGAAGTTTCATCTTTCTGGAATCAGTACTTCATTCCTTTTTATGGCTGAATAATACTCCATATTATGAATATATCATGTTTTGCTTATCCATCCGCCAGTTGATTGACATTTGGATCATTCCCACTTTTGGCTATTATGAATAATGCTGCTATAAATATTCATATAAAAGTTTGTGGACCCATGTTTTCATTTCTCCTGGATATATACCTAGGAGTAGACTTGCTGGGTCATTTGGTAACTCTATGTTCAATCTTCTGAGGAACTGACACACTATTTCCTAAAATGGCCACACCATTTTGTGTACCCACCAGCGTGTGTAGAAGGCTCCAATTTCTCCACATCCTCACCAACACATTATTTTCTGGCTTTTGATTCTAACCATCCTCGTGGATATGAAGTAGTATCTCATTGTGGTTTAGATTTGTGTTTCCCTGATGACATAATGTTGAGTATTTTCTTTTTTTTTTTATGTTGAGTGTTTTCTCATGTGCTTATTGGCCATTTGAATATTATCTTTGGAGAAATGCCTATTCAGATTTTTGCCCATTTTAATTGGGTTGTCTTATTTGTTTCTGGATTCAGTTTGCTAGTATTTTGAGGATTTTTACATCTATATTCTAGTTTTCTTGTGATGTCTTTGTCTGATTTTGGTATCAGGGTAATAGTGGCCTCATAGAATAAGTTTGGAATTCTTCTTTTTTTGGAAAAGCCTGTGAAGAATTAGTATTAATTCTCCTTTAAATTTTTGATAGAAGGGGCACCTGGCTGGCTCAGTTGGTAGAACAGGTGACTCTTGATCTTGGAGTTTTAAGTTCGAGTCCCACACTGGATGTGGAGATTACTTAAAAATAAAATTTTAGGGGTACCTGGGTGGCTCAGTTGTTAAGCATCTGCCTTCAGCTCAGGTCATGATCCCAGGGTCCTGGGATTGAGCCCCACATCAGGCTCGCTGCTCCACGGGAAGCCTGCTTCTCCCTCTCCTACTCCCCCTGCTTGTGTTCCCTCTCTCACTGTCCCTCTCTGTCAAATAAATAAATAAAATCTTAAAAAAATAAACAAATAAAATTTTAGGGATGCCTGGGTGGCTTAGTCAGCTAAGTGTCTGCCTTCGGCTCAGGTCATGATCCCAGAGTACTGGGATCGAGTCCTGCATCAGACTCCTTGCTCAGCAGGGAGCCTGCTTCTCCCTCTGCTTATTCTCTCTCTCTCTCTCTCTCTCATGTGCTCTCTCTCTCTCTGGCAAATAAAATCTTTCTAAAAATAAAATTAAAATAAATAAATGTCTGATAGAAGTCATTGGTGAAGCCATCTGTGCCTGGGCCTCTCTTTGTGGTATTTTTTATTATTATTATTATTACTATTTCAATGTCTTCACTTGTCTTAGGTCTATTCAGATTTTCTATTTCTTCTTGAATCAGTTTTGGTAGTTTATGTCTTTCTAGGAATTTGTCCATTTCATCCAGCTTAACTAATTTGTTGGCCTACAGTTGTTCATAGCATTCCTTCATAAGTCCTTTTATTTCTGTAGGGTCAATAGTAATGTTCCCTCCTGTATTTCTGATTCTTCTCTTTATTTCTTGGTCAGTCTCACTAAAGATCTGCTAACTTGGTTGATGTTTTCAAAGAACCAGCTTGTACCTTCATTGATTTCCTCTCTTATTTTTCTGTTCTCTATTTCATTAGTTTCCATTTTACTCTTTATTGCTTTAGTTTTTCTGCTTGCTTCAGGTTTAGTTTGCTCTGCTTTCTCCCAGTATCTTAAGGTTAGCTTTAGCTACATCCTATAAGTTCTGGTATGTTGTGTTTTCATTTTAATTCATCTCAAAGTGGTTTTTTTTTTTTTTTTAATTTCCTTGGTGATCTCTTCTTTGACCCGTTGGTTATTCAGGAGAGTGTTGTTTTTCAATTTCTTTGTCAGTTTCCAATAGTTTCCTCTGTTACTGATTTTTTCTTTATTTTTTTAAGATTTTATTTATTTATTTGACAGAGAGAGAGATAGCAAGAGCAGGAACACAAGCAGGGGTAGTGGGAGAGGGCGAAGCAGGCTTCCCGCCGAGCAGGGAGCCTGATGTGGGACTCAATCTCAGGACCCTGGGACCATGACCTGAGCAGAAGGCAGACGCCTAATGACTGAGCCACCCAGGTGCCCTGATTTTTTCTTTAAATCCATTGTGGTCAGAGTACACATTTTGCATGATTTCAGTCCTTTTAAATTGTATTGGGACTTGTTTTAATGACTAGCATACCGTCTGTCCTATAGAATGTTCTGGGTGTGCTTGATAAGAATGTGTATTCTGCCATTGTTGAATGGAGTGTTCTGTAGGTGTCTGTTATGTCTAGTTGGTTTATAATGTTGTGCAAATCTAGGGGCGCCTGGGTGGCTCAGCTGGTTAAGTATCTGACTTTGGCTCTGGTCATGATCTTGGGGTCCTGGGATTGGGCCCTAGATTGGGCTCCCTGATCAGCAGGGAGTCTGCTTCTGCTTCTCCCTCTGCCCCTCCCCCTGCTCGTGCTCTCTCTAGCTTTCTCTTTCTCTCAAATAAATAAAATCTTAAAAAAAAACAATGTTGTGCAAATCTATTTCCTTGCTGATATTCTATCTAGTTGTTTTACTCATTATGGAAAATGGGGTATTGAAGTCTCCAACTATTCTTTTGAATTGCCTATTTCTTCTTTCAGTTATGTCCATTTTTGCTTCATATATTTTGGGGCTACGTTGTTAGGTGCATATATGTTTATAATTATTATATCTTCCATCGCTTCTCGGCCTTTTGGCTAAAATCAAGTATAATTATTATATCTTCCTGAGGGATTGACCATCTTATCATTATAAATGTTCCCCTGTGTCTCTAGCAACAATTTTTGTCGTAGAGTCTATTTTATCCAATATTAGTAGTATAGCCATTCCAGTTCACTTTTTTTTTTTTTTTAAGATTTTATTTATTTGAGAGAGAGTGTGTGACTGAGAGAGAAAGCATAAGCAGGGGCAGTGGGAGAGAGAGAAGCAGACTCCTCACTGAGCAGGGAGCCCCACATGGGGCCTGTCCCAGGACCCCAAGATCATGACCTGAGCCAGAGGCAGATGCTTAACCCACTGAGCCACCCAGGCACCCCTCCAATTCCCTTTTAATTACTGCTTGCATGGTATATCTTTTACTATCTTTTTGTTTTTCACCTGTTTTTCACCTATCTTTGACTATACATTGTGTCTCTTGTAGACAGCATGAGGTTGGATCATGTTTTCTTATCCATTTTGCCAATGTTTGCATTTTAACTGAAAGTTTAATCCATTTACATGTAATGTAATTACTGATAAGAAGGACTTTTGCCATTTTGCTGTTAGTTGTTTTTGTTAGATGAATGCCTAACTATGCACTGGACCCTTCATATACATCATCACATTTTTTTTTCATCATCACATTTTTTAAAGATTTTATTTATTTACTTGAGAGAGAGAGCACAAGCAGGGGGGAGCAGCAGGCAGAGGGAGAAGCAGGCTTCCTGCTGAGCAAGGATCCCAGCGTGGGATTCGATCCCAACACTCTGGGATCATGACCCAAGCTGAAAGCAGGTGCTTAACTGACTGAGCCACCCAGGCGTCCCTCATCATTACATTTTTTATACTCATTTTATGATTACAGAATCTAAAACCTATGAAGATTCAATTATGATCCCAGTCAGTGGTGGAGCTGAGCTATGAGCCATCAGCTCATTAGCTCTTGTCTGGAGGTTTCCTCACTGGTCCTCTGGCCTCCACCCTTCCCCTCCCAGGGCCAGTCTACACATGGAGCCAGAGGGACCCTTTAAAAATGTAACTCTGGGGGTGCCTGGGTGGCTCAGTCAGTTATACGTCTGCCTTTGGCTCAGGTCACGATCCCAGAGTCCCAGGATCAAGCCCCATGTCAGGCTCTCTGCTCGGCAGGGAGTCTGCTTCTCCCTCTCCCTCTGATCCTTGCTCCTCTCGTGCTCTCTCTCTCTCTAATAAATAAATAAAATCTTTAAGAAATATATAAGTAAATAAATAAAAATGTAACTCTGATCATAACTCCTTTGCTGATGTTCCAGTGACTCCCACTGAAAGTCCTGACATGTTTCATAATGAGACTCCTGGTTAATGAATGCATTCAAATGCAGAGTTGTCTCCTTCCCACCCAGGCCACCTGAGATCTCAGCATTTTTGACTTTGGTGTCGTTTGCTGGCCTCTGAGCATGTTCCAGCCCAGGCCTTGATAGAGCCAAGAGGACTTCTTGGATCATGGCCAACAACAGAGAGCTTCTGGATTTTATATACCTTTTCCCCCAGCCACACCAAACTTTACATTTTCTCCTCTTCTTCCCCTTTAGTCCATGAAGACTCTGCAGGATTTGCTTACTAATATTTATGCACTCAGGAACACCACTGAAACTCTCAGAAAGGATGTGGACAGACTGAAGGACATAGTTGACAAGGTAGACCCTCTCCAGCATCCTCTATGCTGGCCATGCTGCTTGGACCTCAGGTGGTTGGGGTGACAGGGCACATCTAGGGAGCCTGTTCTTAGTCAAAGAACACAGCTATGAGAGCAGGAGAAGGGCTTAGACATTGCCCAGCCACTTGGCCCAACCCACTAAACTCTCTATGGCTCCCACACTTCTGGGTTACGACATCATTTGTAGGTAACAGAAACCTACTTCATTGTGGCTTAGGCAAAGAAGAGAATTTAATGTCTCATTTACTAAAAGGTCCATAGTTGCCTTCAGGTACAACCAGATCTAGGTGCTCACACCGCATCAACATCTCTCTGTCAGTGATGTTTTTCTGTGGGTTGGCTTCATTCTCAGGCAGGTACTCCCTAAGACTCCAGGCTTGTATACCAACAACTTAGCAGAAAGAGAACAGCTTTTCCTATTCTGTAAAGCTCTGTCCACACTGAAATATGGAACAAACCTAGCACAGGCATACAGGCTCTCGCCCTTGAGAGTCACAAGGATATCAACCCAGGTACATACTCAATCCTTACCATGATGTGTAAGGACACAGAATCTCTGAAGCCTGAGGTCACAGCTGGTGAGTCAGAGCTGGGCTCAGAGGCCAGACCTCCACACTGGCAGGCTGGTATTGTGCTGAGGTTTTACAACTTGCCCCCGAATAGCATGGTTTAGTGTATTATCCCCAATGCACAGGTCAGTGTACACATTTGATTGTCATGGCAACTGTGAGAACTTGGTCTATGTAGCTCCCATCTGAGAAGAAAGGGCATCACAAAACCCTACAAAGAAAAAAAAAAAAAACCAAAACACTGAAAAGATTCCTTCAACAAATCTGTTGGAGAAAACAGTGCCTCCTCAGCCTACCTCTTGGAGATTCTTAATGTACTTTTTTTTTAAAGATTTTATTTATTTATGACAGAGAGGGAATACAAGCAGGGGGAGTGGGAGAGGGAGAAGCAGGCTTCCCACTGAGCAGAAAGCCCGATGTGGGGCTCGATCCCAGGACCCTGGGATCATGACCTGAGCCGAAGGCAGACGCTTAACGACTGAGCCACCCAGGTGCCCCCTTAATGTACTTTTTTTTGCCTACTAAAGGCTCTGAGAAGTCCTGCACTGTAGAAGCCCATTGAATACTTTTTTTTAATTTTATTTATTTTTGAGAGAGAGAGAATGACAGAGAGAGAGAGAATGAGAGGGGTGAGGGTCAGAGGGAGAAGCAGACTCCCCACTAAGCAGGGAGCCCGATGTGGGACTCAATCCCAGGACTCCAGGATCATGACCTGAGCCGAAGGCAGTCGCTTAACCAACTGAGCCACCCAGGCGCCCCCATTGAATACTTTTTAAGCCCAGCATTTTCCAAACTTATTTTCCCAGGAGACCCTCTTCCACCCCTTTCCGACTCACTGGGAAACACTTGCTTTGGAATCTGTTCTTCCTTCTCCAACTCAGTCACCTAGAGCTGAGTCCTTGTCTTTGAGCTGTGGGGCAAGCAGGGCCAGGACCAGAACCTGCACCCCTGGCCCATGGACTCGGCTTATTTGACAGATGCAGCCGGAAAGAATGGATACTTTGTTCGAAGATCTGAAAGGACAGAGCAGGAGGATGAGTGCACTGCAGCGGGAAGTGGTAAGAGACTCCGCTTCCCTTCCCAGTCCCCTGACCTCCAGGCCTGGGGTGCTGTGGGCAGGAAAGAGTAAGGAAGAGAACACAATCTAGAAAGCCAAGTGTGGACAAAGGAGCCACCCGAGGGCATCACCCCTCATTCTCAACCTCCTCTCCTGCCCCCCAGGTTACTCTCCAGAGCAAAATCCTCACCATCCCCAAAGCTGAGGACGTGGTGCTCTGGAGCAGCCTCCACGAGGCCATGTTCAACCCCGTGAGTGAAGGAGGAAAAGGAGGGGCAGCAGCGGAGGGTCGGGGAAGGCAGGGTGACTGCTGAGCTGGCCTGGAGCAGCCCTGGGCAGCCTCGCCCCTTTTCTGCAGGGAACTTCTGCAAGAGGATCTGGTCCAACACAGATTGAGGATTCGGACCTGTGGCAGTTGGTGGATCAGCTCCAAGATACTGGTCATCCTCAGACCACCAAGTACCATGAAGCTGTTGGTCATGTCCAGATCTCAGAGGCCATCCAGAGCCCCAGGTTACTCGAGACTATCTGGCATAACAAGACCCCCAGGCAGCTACAGGAGGAGGAATATGACCAAGCTGTTCTACTCACTGGGGCCCAGGGCCCAGGGCAGCCTCTGGGGCTTGAGCCCGGGTCTGTGCCCACACCAGGGCCACAGCCCAAGGCCATGCCTGCTCCGGGGCCTGTGCCGGGGCCCGGTCTGACACCAGGGTTCACACTACCACCTTGGCCTCCATTCATACCTGGGCCTGGCCCTGGCCCTTGGCCTGCCCTCGGACCTGGGCCTGGCCCTGGCCCTTCACCTGCCCTTGGACCTGGGGCTGGCCCTGGACTTTGGCCTGCTCTCGGACCTGGGACTGCCCCCGGGCATGCACCTGCCCCAGGGCTTCAGCCTTCGCCGCGAGAACGCTGGCCTTCCCCCAGAGGCTTGTCCAGGGCTAGCACGTGGCCCTTCTGGGGCTCAGGCTTCTTGGAGCCTGCACGGTCCCAGGACTTCAGGGCCCCACCGCCAGCCAGGGAGTTTGGCTCCGCGTGGCCCCGTCCACTGCAGTCACAGTCTGGTCAGGCAGAGGTGCACCTGCTCCCAACTGTCTCAGAAATTGAGGAAGACTATGTATCCCAGGACATGCCAGCCCCTCAGGACAGGGCGCCCAGGGCTGGGGCCCCCAAAGAGGCACCTGCTAAGACTGCCCTTCAGCGCCTGAAGACCACTGCGGCCATCGCGGCCAGTGCCACGGCCTCCTACGCAGCTGCTGCCACCTCAGCGGCCCGGAGAGCCGAGGTTGTCGCCAAGGCTGTCAGGGACGCCCCTGCCACCAAGTTGGCCACCATAGCAACGTCTGTGGCTGCATCCGGGCCCTTAGGGGCCTTTGCAGACAGCTTGGGTGCGGGCCCTTCCCGCGGGGCCTTGGCTTTCACTGAGGACACAGAGGGGCAGGACCTCTCTCCCCTGTACCCTGCTGCCAGCCTCCCTCCCGAAAGGACCCTGTCCCAGGTCATGCTGACTGCCCAAAAGGCTGTGACCCCTGAAGACAAGAAGACGGCCGTCAGGTACTCCATGGGCCGCATAGCCCAGATGCCCATTAGACACGACTCCCTGAAAGAAGAGTTTGCCCAGCTGTCATCCACCCTTCAACAGCGCTTGAATTACCTAGGTAGGCCTGGCCTGGTTCAGGCCCTCCCTCCCTGCAGCCTTCGAGAAGTCCCTCGTCTCCTTCATTGAGCTCCCCCAACAAAAGCTGTATTAACCATTAGCCGTTCATTCCTTTGGCTTCAGCATCTGCCTCTTACTAGTCTGTTCTTTCATCACGAATGTACTGTGAGGTGTTCTCATAGGGGAGAGAGGTGTTTGGGGTCTAACGCTGGCCCTGAAGAAGGAAAATTGCATGTCACAATGACTCTGGAAAACTCCCTTTCTACAGCCCATACAACACAGCCCTACCGTACAATGTTTCGATAAGTCTGGATCCCACCAGAATGACCCACTGAACAGACCCCAGATAACGTGGTCCGTGTGGGGTTAGGAGCTACTGCCGGGCAAACATACGTATCCTTAAAGACCACAGAAGCTTTCTGGGTGGCAGCCGAAACGGTAGATTTATGCTCTGACTTTATGCCTTCGACGGGCAAAATGCTCGCTGAGGGGAGTGGAGGGCAGAATAGCCTAGTTGAGTAGTTTTCAACCTTGTGACATGGGGCAAGGTGCAGCGCAAATGTGCTCTAAGTGTGAAGCGCACATCAGATATTAAAAACTTAATATGAAAACATGAACATAAAATATCTCACTTCTTTTTATCCCATATTGAAATGATACTATTTTGAATATATTGGGTTAAATAAAATATCAAAATTACTTTTACCTGTTCCTTTTTTTTTATTTTCAAAGATTTATTTATTTTAGAGAGAGAGCACAAGTGGGGGTAGGGGCAGAGGGAGAGGGAGAGAGAATCTCCAGCAGACTCCTCACTGAGCACGGAGCCCGACAGGGGGCTCAATCTCACAACCCTGAGATCATGACCTAAGCCATAATCAAGAGCCGGACGCTTAACTGACAGAGGCACCCAGGGCCCCCTCCTTTTTTGATTTGTTTAAAGAATGTGGCTACTGGGCGCCTGGGTGGCTCAGATGGTTAAGCGTCTGCCTTCGGCTCAGGTCATGATCCCAGGGTCCTGGGATCGAGTCCGGCATCAGGCTCCCTGCTCCTTGGGAGCCTGCTTCTCCCTCTGCCTCTCTCTCTCTCTCCCTCTCTGTCTCTCATGAATAAATAAATAAAAAGTTAAAAAAAAAAAAAAAGAATGTGGCTACTAGAAAATTTTA